AACCATGAGCATCTGCGTCACTTCTTCATGTAACTCACTTGTGCCTGCAGGACCTGCTCAGTCCCAATCAGTCGAATCACTTCCATTTGATGATGGAGTGCTTCTATGCACACCTGATGTTATAACTTGCTGGGTAAGAAAACACCCAGTTCATGATGGGCAGCTCAGGTTGCATGGTAACACGGTAACCCATAGTTAAGCATTTAGTCTTTACTAAGGCTCAGCAGCAGGCCAAAAGCTGTTTCTCAAAAGGAGAGTAGTTATCTGTGGAGATTGGCAGGGCTTTGCTCCCAAATCCAAAGGCCTGCATTGCAGTTCACCCATAGATGCCTGACAAAGGCTCCAAACAGCATCCCTATGTGCCACTGACACTCTAAGCACCATTGCTTGGCCCTGCTGGATCTTACGGCCCAAGCGGCAGAGCAGTTTGCACAGCAGCCTGGCCTGTTACAGAGTCCTCTCTTGTTCTGGGACCCACTCAATATTAGCAGCTTTTTGATCACAGTAATACACCCAAAGGAAGAATATGTTGCCTCCAAAATCTGAAGAAGCCCAGTAGGCATTGCACTTCTCTTTTGGTTGTAGGAGGGGCCAGATGGAACAACTTAGCCTTCCCTTAGAACGGATATCTCAATAAGCTTCACAACATTGGATGCCTAAAACTTTCACTAAGGAGAGGGCCCCTGAAGTTTGTTGGATTTATTTCCCACCTTCTTACATGCAAATTTCTTACCAATAGGTCTAAAGTAGTTACTGCTTCTTGCTCACTAGGTCCAATCAACATAATGTCATTAATCGCATGGACCAATGTAATACCTTGTGAAAGTGATTGAGACTCCCATGAACTAGATTATAATACAATGCTGGAGAGAGTTAGCATAACCCTGAGATAGAGCAGTAAAGGTGTATTGCTGGCCTTGCAGTGAAAGAAAACTGCTGTTGGTAGTCTCTATTGACAGATATGAAGAAAAAGCATTCGTCAAATCAATAGTTGCCTATCAGGTTTCAGAGAATATGCTAATTTGCTCAAGCAATGAAACCACATCTGGTACAGCAGCTGCAAGGGGAGTCACCACCTGGTTAAGCTTATGATAATTCACTGTCATTCTGCAAGATCCAACCGTCTTTTACATAGGTCAAATAGGCAAGATGAATGGGAACGTGGTGGAAATCACCACCCCTGCATTTTTCAAATCTCCGATGCTGTCACTAATCTCTGAAATCCCTTCAGGGATGCAGTATTGCCTTTGGCTTACTATTTTCCTATATAAGGGCGGTTCTAGTGGCTTCCTCTTGGCCTTTCCCACCATAATAGTCCTTATCCCACAGATTAGGTAACCCATGTGGGGATTCTGCCTGCTGCTGAGTGTATCTATTCCAATTATGCATTCCAGAACTGGGGAAATAACCACAGAATGGCTTCTGAGACTCACTGGGTCAATGGGACACAGACCTGAGCTAAAACTCCACGAGTCATCTCACCTCCATAAGCCCCTACTCTGGCTAGTGGACCAAATGATGGTCCCTGTCTCCTAGATTCCATGTCAGTTCAGAGCCTTTGTCTGGCAGTACCCAAAAGATCTGATTATTTCCTTTTCCTCAAGCCACACTTACCCTGGTAAAAGGCCGTAGGTCCCTTTGGGGAGGCTTGGCGAAAAAGTAACAGTATAAATTATTGGCAGTGTACCAGGGTCCTTCATCAAGGGGACCCAGTTTCCTTTTCATTCAAGGGGTTCTGGCTCTGTAAACTGGCTTAAGTCTGGGAATTCATTTAGGGGCCATGATTCCCCACTTTTATGATTCAAGATAGACTTTTGCTTACTTGAACGTTGCTGTTGTCACAGATCGATTAACAATTTAGTAGGTTTTCTATCTGCTTCACTTCTGAAAACATCATGATCAACTAGCTAATGCCATCGGTCTGGAAGCCAGGCTATTCTGATTGCTGCTTTGACTCTACTGTCCCTTAAGGTGACCACACTCACTTTGCCTTTGGTGGTTAAGAGCTGCCACATGGCTCCTGCCACGCTAGGATCCAATCACTCCATTGCATTTAGGTTTCCCAGTTCAGTGACTGTGGATCCCACTGTAAAGTCTCACCTACAGAGAAGAGTGATCATGGAGTTTTTCAAGGATACCAGGGATTCCCTCACAAATTTATGTCTCACAATTGTGGTGAAAAATATATCTTCTGGACTCTCCCTGGGTGAGGGGGAAGATACTAAATGACAAATCCCCTCTAACATTTCAATCTCCCTAAGCCTTTGAATCACTTCCTCTATATTAAACCGGGGCAGTTCTAGCATTTTGAACTCACTCAATATCGCCCACCTTTTGGTCTATGTTTCAGCCAACCAACCAAATTTAGTCCCTTTGTGTTGTTATGAAGGAATATTTAAGGCTGGATACTTTATAAAGAAAAGAGGCTTCTTTGGCTCATGGTTCTGCAGGCTGTACAAGAAGCATGATGCCAGCATCTGCATCTAGTGAGGGCCACAGGCTGCTTCCACTCATGGCAAAAGGTGAAGGGGAGCTGGTGTGTGCAGAGATCACACGGTAAGAAAGAAAGGTGGTAGGGAGGGAGGTACTGGGCTCTCTTAAACAACCAGCTCTTATAGGAACAAATAGAGCAAGAATTCACTCACTCTTGCAAGAATGGCACCAAGTCATTCCTGAGAGATCTGCCCCCTGAACCAACACTTCCTACTGTTCCCCACCTCCAACATTGGGAATCAAATTACAACACGAGATTTGAAGGGAACAAGCAAACTAAGGTATAGCACAAACAATTAGAGCCCTTTCTAACTGCCTGAGCTGCAATGTTAAATACAGAATCTCGGCTTAGTGAGTCCACATCAATGAATTCCACCTAATCCAACTTTATATTCCTCCTGCCATTATCCCACACCCTCAATATCCACTCCCACACATGTTTCCCAGATTTCTATCTTTATAAATTAGAAAATTCCAGTAGTTCTTTTGAACTGTAGTACACTTCCTTGTGAGTTACATTTTGTACCTTACCTTCAGGAGCCTACTAGGACTTGAATCAAGTTATGGGTCTAGAAGCAAAGAGGGGTGATAGAAATGGGTCTTGAGGAGAATCATTGTCTAGCATGTCATCTACCACAGAGGGGGTCATTACAGTTTTCTAGGACAATGCAGGTTTAATCCCATCAGATGAGAGGTGAGGGGCTGAAGAGGCCACTACCACTGGGAGTGGGAAGGTGGCTTCCACAAAGGATAGAGAGGCCTCTTCCACTGGCAAATATTTATCAGATTCCAGGGGCTCGATTTCCCCAGTTTCATCAGGTCTTCCCACATATCCCCATTCCAACTATCAAAGTGCATATCTTCCTCACTTCAACGTTAGACTTCCTGTGAGGCTGAGAGTTTAACCTGTGCAGTAATTCAGCCAGTCTCAGGATAAGATTCTGTGTTTGATTTTCAGCAATCATAGCCCTGCTGCTAAAAGCAATAATGATATTTCAGGGCACACATAGAAGATTTCAGGTTTTGTACATGGGGCTTAAACTGAAGATTCAAATCCCTGAGCTCATCCTTTTCTTTCCCCACTTTGTCCAGTGACATTTGGATCAACCAGCCAATCTCATTATACTTGTTAGTTTGCAAAAAAAAAAAAAATTGTTCATAAGTATATACATAGCCCCCACAACCACCCCCAGCTCCTTGCTTCTTGTAAGAGGTTGCTAAGGAGTATCCAATGGTGGTATTTTACATATCTCTATTGTAAGATCATGCCATGGACTACCGGTGCTCTCATTACTACTAAAAATAAAGTCATAAGCATCTTTAAATCTAATCAGATTAGACAGCCAATTCCAGAAACCACAGAACCAATTCAGAAAACCCATCATTAATATTCCTTTTTTTCCTTTTAAATTTAATTTAATTTAATTTTTTGAGACAGGGTCTCATTCTATTGCCCAGGCTGTAGTGCAGTGGTACTATCGCAGCTCACTGCAGCTTCAGCTGCCTGGGCTCAAGCAATTTTCTCACTTCAGCCTTCTGAGTAGCTAGGACCATAGACACACTACCCTATGCCTGGCTAGTTTTTTCTTTTTTTATTTTTCGTAGAGATGAGGTCTCACTATGTTACCCAGGCTGCTCTCAAACTCCTGGGCTCAGGCGATCGTCCTACCTTGGCCTCCCAAAATGATGGGATTACAGGCGCGAGCCACAGCACCTGGACTTCATCCTTAACATTCTGTTTCTCTAGAACTATAAAGGAAGTGGGAATAGTCATACGACATTGCACATGTACTAAATGCACTGAATTGTACACTTAAAAATGTTTAAAATATTAATTTTACGTGTATTTTACCGCAATAAATAAATAAATAAATAAATAAATAAATAAACCAGTTACAAAAAAAGGAAAAGAAATAACCCAGGCCTGAATGAAGGTAGGCAAGGGCAAAAAGACCCTCAATTCAGAGTTTAACTCAACAGGAAGTGCTGATCAATTTGATGGTTGAATAAGGATAAAAGCTCAGAGTTTTAGAGTTTTAAGAAATAAAATATGAGTCTAAGGTTTTCTATCTGTAACTTTACATTCATCTTTCTTCTAGGATTTAGTCAAAAGTCTTTTCAACTTTTGGACCAATGATTCTATGCTAATTTGCACTTTCAACTGAACATTCATACTGTAATTTTGTCCCAGGCAGAATTAAAGTAAAGATTCAAGATCTGGGCTTGAATCTTTACCTACTTACCAAGATGTACCTACTTCTTCCGGAGACAACATTCATGATTCTTAAAGATTTCACAAGCGTGCTTTCTAAAGTAAATTATAAACAGTGCCAAAGAATTTGCTTCACTACATGCCTATAGGGTGGTGAATCAGGCTTAACTCTTCCTCCCCCACCCCCATTTCCCCATTCACATCTCACCTGACGTCTTCCTTTGACCTACTTTTTCAGAAATCAAAGAAGTAATCTTAGGTGGTGATTTGAAGTCCCACAGCCATTGGTACTTACTCCTCTTAAGCTACTCTGCTTTCTGTTCCTTCTGTCTACTGTCCGGGGCAAGTGGCTGGAAGTAGTAAGGGGTCAATGCCAAGTGAAATCCTCTGGCGTTTTCTTCTGACATCCAGGAATCTGCAAAGTGAGTTTGCTGGGAGCGTCCAGTTTTTTCAGCTTAACGTTAGGTGTACTTTCTGTCTTCGGCACAAATTGTTTCCAAATGCCTGTGGGTTGCAATATGATTTTCCCATCTTGAAAATCTATTAAAAAGGAAGAGATTCTTCACTTCTCCCCACCCCACCTCCAGGCACTGCAGATGGCGATTAACACCCTACACAGCCCCTCCCCGTAGCATCATCAATTTTTTGCCTGCATTGCATCTACTTCACAGTTTGAGACATGCCAAATCACACACGTTCTAAGTACTTGTTGCTAGCAACAAATCTCTCTTCCTCAGTGGCCAAGCAGACTATATTTGGAATGTCAGAGCACCTAGCCCTTCCCTGGCCCACTTCCTTTAGCTGAGAAGTCTCCAAGCCTTAAAGTAACCTCACCCATGTTTCCTTGGGTTCTGCTTGTTGAAGGAACTCTTTGGATGAACTCGGCAAAACACAAAGTGACAACAAAACAGAGAAACAATCAGATTCTTTTCCATGAACTCCTTTTCTTTAAAAGTGAGTGTTATTAATCCCTACCTTATGGAAAAATTGTGAATGTATTTAATGAGCTCATCAAAATATACATACATATATATATATATATATAGAGAGAGAGAGAGAGAGAGTCTCACTCTGTTGCCCAGGCTGGAGTGCAGTGGCACAATCTCGGCTCGCTGCAACCTCCATCATCTCACAGGTTCAAGCAATTCTCCTGCCTCAGCCTCCCAAGTAGCTGGGATTACAGGCGCTCACCACCAAGCCCAGCTAATTTTTTTTTTCTTTTTGGAGACAGAATCTCATTCTGTTGCCCAGGCTGGAGTGCAATGGGGCAATTTTGGCTCACTGAAACCTCTGCCTCCTGGGTTCAAGCTTCCTGCCTCAGCCTCTCGAGTAGCTGGGACTACAGGCAAATGCTGCCAAACCAGGCTAATTTTTTTGTATTTTAATAGAGATGGGGTTTCACTGGGTTGCCCAGGCTGGTCTTGAACTCCTGAACTCAGGCAATCCACCTCCCTTGGCCTCCCAAAATGCTAAGATTCCAGGCATGAGCCACTGTGCCCGGTCTAATTTTTGTATTTTTAGTAGAGACCAGGTTTTGCCATGTTGGTCAGGCTGGTCTCATACTCCTGACCTCAGGTGATCTGCCGACCTTGGCCTCCCAAAGTCCAAAGTGCTGGGATTACAGGTGTGAGCCACTGCGCCCGGCCTGAGCTCATCAAAATATTAAAACTAGTCCATCTTTAATGGCAGTGTAGACCTAGCACATGGCTGGCAGTGTATAACTGCCAGGTGTTTCTCTTTTTCTCACTGTTTCTCTCTCTTTTTTATTGAGGTAAAATTCACATAACATAAACCAAATCATTTTAAAGTGAACAATTAAATGGCATTTTGTACTTTCACAGTGTTGTACAATCACATCTCTATCTAGTTCCTAAATATTTCCATCCCCCGCAAAAGGAAAGGCATCCCCATTAACCACTCTCCATTTCCCTCTCCTGAGCCTTCACAAACAACAATCGACTTCCTGTCTCTGTTCATTTAACCTGTTTTGGTTATTTTATTTAAATGGATTTATATGTGTCTGGCTCCATTCGCTTAGTGTAATATTTTTTAAGTTTTTCCATATTGTAACACGTTTTGGTAATTTATTTCTTGTTATATCTGAACAATCTTCTGTTGTATGGATATACCACAATTCGTTATCTATTTAACTGTTGATGAACATTTGTGCTGTTTCACCCTTTGATGTTTGTAAATTATAAATAGGGCTGCCATGAACACACATGTACATGTATTGGTTTGAGTGCCTGTTTTCAATTCTTTTGAGTATATAACCGGGAGTGAAATTGGTATTCACCCTTTTTTTTCTTCTCTTAATGATCTCATGTCTGCATGATCCTTAATGATGCCCTGTTTTAAAATTCCTGACGTTGTTTGTCACTAGTTCATTTGTCTCTAGTTTAACTGACCAATCTTGACAGCAATTTTTCACTTTTATTAGTATTTTAAGGAATCTGCCTGTGGTTTGGAGAACCTTGTCTGCTTATACATTTGAATTAGTGATAATGATTGCTTTCTCTTTGGATTTGTTTCGCCACTCCTTTGGTAATGTCTGGAGAGGGCTGCTTAACTGACATGATCGAGGCTCCATTTGTATGTCCTGGGATCCCTCATCAGGCCTGTGCACTCCCAGACAGGAACCTGCATCTTTGTCCAAGGGCCATCCCTAGGCTGCCTGAACTTACTTAGCCTATGGGCATAGTGGGCTGGAGGTGCGTGGGAACTAACAGCCTCCGGAGGAAACCTTTAACTAAAGACCAAAGGCTGTCAGGGTGTAAACACCCTTCTTGCCCTTCGGCTGGGATAATTCTGAAGCATATTTTACTTAGTTTTCTAGAGTTCTTCTTGGTAATTAATGCAATCAAGCTCCAGTCTCCTGCTGTGATGACTGCCTTCATAACACACCCTTTATTATTTATCTGTCTTCCCTCCATATCTCACTTCCTATCTGTTCCTACTTGTCTATTTCCCTGTGAGGGACTGAACTGTGAGCCCCTCAAATTCAACATATGAAGCCCCTAAATTTATTTGTTTGAGTCTGAAGTCAAGGTACTTAAGAGTGTGGCTTTATTTGGAGATACAGCTTGAAAGAGGTGATGAAATTAAAATGAGATCATGAAGGTGCACCCTAATCCACTATGACTGGTGTCCTTATAAGAAGAGATTAGGACGCAGACACACACACAGGGAATCCCATGGGCAGACACAGGGAGAACACAGACATCTGCAAGCCAAGGGCAGGGGCCTCAGAAGAAACCAAACCTGCTGACTCCTTGATCTCAGATTTCAGCCTCAAGAACTGTGAGAAAAAAAAAATTTCTGTTGTTTAAGCCACCTAGCCTGTGATACTTTGTTACGGCAGCCCAAGCTAATTAATTCACTCCCAATTAAACTGTTTGCCCTTGAATCCTTGGCTCAAGGTCTGCTTCTGGGGAACCCAAGCTAAGATTCAAAGTTTATTGATTTTTTTCAGTGTTTCTTCTTTTCTAAATATGCATTTGAAGCTATAAATTCCCTTCTAAGCATGGCTAACACTCTGATATGTAGTATTTGATAGTGTAATGATAAGTATTTGTAGTATAATGGTAAGCTTTGATAGGCAGTATTATTATTTAATTCAAAGTATTTTCCATTGCAATTTCTATTTAACCTGTGGCTTATTATAACTCAGAAGAGTTTTACATTGGCCTTATAGATGCTCCTGACACATGTGTCACTTCTGCTCACAACTCAAATGACCAGAACTAGCCACAGGGCTCCACCCAGCCACAGGGGAGCAGAAAGTACAACCTACTGTGTTGTTGTTGCATAGAACATCTTTCTACATGTTTCCTCTTGCATAGGTGCTAGAATTGCTTTAGAATAGGCTATAAACCTGGGGTGGAATCACTAAGCCATCTTATTAAACCCATCTACCATTTTATTGGAAATCGCCAAGCTGCTTTCCAAAGTGATTGTGCAAGTACACATATTGCCTGTGCATATTCTTCTGCACCCTCACAACCCTTCATATTATCAGACTTTTAAAATTTTTTGACAATTTTGGAGGCATGAAACAGTATCCTATTGTGTTTTAATTTGCATTTCCCCGACTAATAGGCAGGTCAGGCTTTTTCATTTGTTTGTGGTTGTTGTTGCTTTTTGTGTTTGTTTTTTGAGACGCAGTCTTGCTCTGTCATCAGGCTGGAGTGCATTGGCATGATCACAGCTCACTGCAACTTCCACCTCCCAGGTTCAAGCGATTCTCCTGCCTCAGCCTCCCAAGTAGCTGGGACTACAGGCACCTGCCACCACGCCCAACTGATTTTTGTATTTTTAGTAGAGACGGGTTTTCACCATGTTGACCACGCTGGTCTCTATCTCTTGACCTCATGATCCACCCACCTCAGCCTCCCCAAGTATTGGGATTACAGGCGTGAGTCACCGCGCCCGGCTAGGTCAGGTCTGTTTTATACCACATGTCCTGTGATGGTTTCTACTTTATATAATTGTATTCTTAAAATAAATTTTATGAAATATTTTCCATTTTAATAAAAATTAAGTTTTTGTCCTATTTGATAATAATTCGTGGCTCATTTCCCAATAGTTTACATCATAATTCTCTAAAACTAATCCTTGCATTTTAGCAAGATTTCAGGTCTATTTAATTAGCAAGGCTGAATTTAAGAATGAACTTGAACTTTATCAGGGGTCAGTAAACTTTTTTTTGGTAAAAGATCAATAGACATTTTTTATCTTATTTATTTTTTTGCTTTGCAGGCCACATGGCCTCTGTTGCAACTACTCAGCTCTGTTGGTATAGCTGAAAAGCAGATATAGACAATATGGTGTGGCTGTGCTTCCACAAAACTTCACTTGTGGACACTAAAATGTAAATTTTGTGTAATTTTCACATGTTACAAAATATAACTCTTCTTTTGACTTTTTCCTCAGCTATTTAAAGATGTAAAAATCATTCTTGACTCAGACTATGTAAAACAGAGGCAACAGGCCATAGTTTGCTCTTGGGCCCTAGCTTGGCACCCCCTGAACTATATGAAAGCTTGACTCTAAAGGCAAAGAATGTGATAGAAGCTGTCTACCTGCTGTTAATGCAACCCACATTGCAATCAACATGAAGGATTAAGATCTCGGCCAGCTCTTTCAATCGTCTTTCTCTATTTTTGTGTCTTACAAGGATTTTCTTAGATAAGTTTCATGAGCACGGTAGATCTAATGGTCTCAAAAGATTTACCCTGCATTCTGCAAGCACAGGTGTTTCACACAGCAAAGCCCAGGAACACAGGTCTTGCAGCCTCTGGATAACCAGACCAAACTCGTCTCTCACCAGTAGTTCAAAAAAACCCATGCTATCCTCATGCAAATAAACTTATGAAATGCTTTGCCAAATGATTTGTTCAGAACAGTAAAAGCTGGATACCACTTTGTGTGGAAGAAGAGGAGATCCAGTAATGACAATACATCTTTTGTCAGAAAGACTTACAAAGGCTGTGACATTCTTCTTTGGAGTGTTGTCATTGTGTTGGAAGGGATGAAGTGGTTCTAGGGCACACAAAAAAAGGGTTATGAACATCTGAGAAGACTACAGATAAGTCCTTACTGCTGATTTTGGACACAGGTAGGTTACAGAGATGTTACACAAGCCCTCTGGCTTATCAGTCACCCAGGGTCTGCCTCTGCAAGGCTAATACCATGGTCACTATACTCTATCTCTCTGAAACG